CTCTCTCTCTCTCTCTCTCTCTCTCTCTCTCTCTCTCTCTCTCTCTCTCTCTCTCTTTGTTTGTTTTTATTTATTTTGTTTTCACTTATCTAATCAAATTTAAAATGTCGAACGTTGAATATGGGTTTGTATCTCTTTTGATGCGCGCTCGCGATTTTCGCCATATATCATTCTATATATTTAGATAGACTAGTATATATTCACTATATATTGCCCGTGCTATTTTTGTTATTCGCGATCAATAATTTTGCTGCTCATTGTCAGTAGATAATTAGGTTTGAGGCATTTTTTTTCGGACAGCTCCTGAATTTAATAATGTTACTTGTAAAATGCACAAGCTTACATTGATTGGAATGTGTGTGTGTGTGTGTTTGTATGGTTGTTCTTTGTCAGTTGAAATTTATTTGCGATAATTGGATGATGGTGATGCCCATCAGCCTCTTAATGTTCACACGCGCTCAAATCAAAGAAGCACGTACACCAAATATTCTATGACGGTCTTCTTTTTTTTCTAACACACAGTCAGACATACTCTGGCTAAAAGATATTTGAACTGTGCCGTGAGAGAGAGTGTGTTATAATTCGCAATTTTTGTTTTGCTTTATTTTTGCTTCTTTTTTATGACTCGATAAATATGTTCGCGTTGAAGGTCAAACGGAAATCGATGTATGTGCCAAACATCACTCAGCTTATATAACGTAGCTCGTACATTTACGAGCAATTTGTAAAATTAGCTGTATTCAGTTGCATTCATCTCGTGCATTGGTGTGATTGATGTTGGGGAGTTTTGTTTGTTTAGAATGTGATTACTGTCTAGTTTTGGTTTAGTGGAGTTTCTGTTCGATCAGTTGAATAGTCTGCTTCTGGATTGGTCACACACATCCCACTATCTCCCGAAATCGATTTCTCAATGAAAAACGCATTCAACATGAATCCATTAAATGTCTCATCAATTCGACACAACACTGAAATATATATGTACAAATGAACTGTTGCCGTTTGTTCTCTCAACTTTATGTGTAATATCAATTTTTTTTATGTATGAAACGTGTTTGACATTTTCTTCAAATTCAACGAGAAATCATCAGTTCAAATTTAAAATAACAACAACATGAAATAAAACATCGAGAATATCACGCGCGTGTCGTATTCACCCTTAACGCACATTCAAATCGAACGTTCACTTTCACTGTTCTTTTTCTTGCTTCTGTCGATCTTGTTTTGTGGGGAGAGAGCAATATTGAAGTCACACAACCAACAACAGCAACCGCAACGCAATATGTTATGTCCTTTTTTTGGTCAGGTTGTCGCCTTTAATTTTCTTCGTTAGCTCTTGCTCTCATTCGTTCATTTCGATTATTTAACAAAAAAAAAATTCACTTGTTCAAACTGTGACACATACAAAAAAATCACCACCTCAAAAAAAAAAACACTTAAAACTTTGAGAATATTGTCTATGCAAAAACAATCAGAAAAACAAACTCAAGTTCAGTTTATCAAGAGAATTATTTCGATCAATTTTTTTTCGCTCTATATTTTCTAAGTTTTCTATTTCTTTGTTATCGGTTGCTGGTTGGTTTTTCCAGTGTTTACACGTCAAAATCGTTCACATGCAAAACGCCAAGTGAGCGAACAAGATTCTTTTTACAATATACTATACAAAACAGGAAGTTCACTCATTCACTCTCCCTCACTTTGATGGAAAACGACGTCGGGGCTGAATTTTCTTCTTTCCATTCGGTCGTTTCGTTTTTTGTGTTTGCTGTGTATTCGATGTGATGGCAATGGCGTTGTTATTCACCATCAGCTTCGCATGTACGTTTATATATGTATACGTGTGTGTGTGTGTATAGAGTTGTGGCGCAGGTATGTGTCTATAGAAATTTAAACATAACACACAGTCGATAGCTGCTGCTTCAGCAAAGAGGATGGACGCGTGGCCACCACACGACCCAACGCTGCTGCCTGCTGCTGCTGCTGTTGCTGTTGGCTGGGAAATTCCATTCGGAAAAGCGTTCGCACACACAACGAAGCGCATGCTCATCCATTCCCAAATATCAATAAATATCGCTTTGAATGAGGGTGTGAGTTTGTGTTTGTATACGTGTGTTCGAAATCATTTTAATCATTTGAAGTGGAATGAAAAAGCCCAGAAAAGCCAGGAAAAAACTCACACACACACACACTCATGACAGATTCTCTGAATTAATTGTTTGTGCCATTGATTCTGCTGTACAAGAAAGTTAATCACAATTCATTTATGCGTCTTATGCCATAAACAATGTCATTTGCCATCGAAAGCGAATTTTATGCGAGATCTCTCTCATCCTCTCACTCTCTCTCTCTCTCTCTCACTCCCTTTCGCTCGCTCGTATATCATTATTAATGAATTTTACCCAAAATTATGTATTTTATGAAAATATTTTACTTTCGCCTTAACCGAAACAACTTAAAGAAGGATAAAACCTTTTTGCAATTAATCGCATAGACTTTAACCCTTTAAAAGCATTAGTTTAATTTTTTTTCGTAAACTTTTCGGATTCGGCCGGTTGAAACACTGGTTGTCCTTACAATTGAATTATTATATTTCTTATTTCTTTTTCAAGAAAATTCAATTTTAATACGTCCATGGATTTTCAATTAAATTTTGCATGTAACATTGAAATTACCGCAATGAAGATGACGTAAATAACGTTTGAAACGGCGATTGATGATAAAAAATATGATTCGGAATATTTCTTTCGGAAAATGAAAATACTAATAAATAAAAAAGAAAACGTTTTCACCTTTTCCACTTTAGAGGGTTAAAAGGCTTCTCGAGTCACACAAGCTCATTATAAATAATTTACAATTCAAATGAAACTGTATGCATTATATGTCCACCCACTCATATATGAAAATATGTGCTCAAGACTATCAAGTATATGATTATTAGTAATCTCTCTCTCTCTCTCTCTCTCTCTCTCTCTCTCTCTCTCTCTCTCTCTCTCTCTCTCTCTCTCTCACTTTTGTGTATTGAACCAAGAAAAATGAAATTATACAACATGTATATGTATATGTATCATTTTTGCTCCGTGCAAACAAATAAATTGCCACCACTCGTATGGATAAAGTTACAAAAATAACATTACAGAAGAAATTGAGTCTAATTTTCAAAGAGAGAGGCACACACACACGCTGGAACATTATTATTAATAAGCGATGCATCCATTTTAAGTTTTCTCAGCTTCATCTGCACGGAAAATATATGTCCAAGAAATAATATGATTGTGGTGTATGCCGATATTGATGTACAGAGTATGTTGTTTTGAAATGGATAAAAGTGTTGATTTTTCTTCATTAAAAATTTATTGTTCATGTCTTTCTGCTAATTTAAGGATTTCAAATCTTTAAAACTTCTCCTCCGTTTTTATTTCTTACTTGCTCTTAATTCAAACTTTGTGGAAGAGTTTGTTGAAGGAATTTAATTACCAATTAAAAGTATATTTTGTGTGTGTGTGTGTGTGTGTGTGTGTGTGTGTGTGTGTGAAACAGCTGATTCGCCAGCCGAGCGATGAGATGAATTCGTTTTCGTTTTGAATTCGCTTGTTTCTTTCGAAGAAAACGTACAAAGACAAACACAACGCAATCAACTTCTTGAAATATTAATGTGGTGAGTTATATTTTCATTTCTCCATGTTTATGTGTCGAAAAATATTTCATCACATGACGTAAAAGTTTCGATTTCAACGTACCTTATGTTTATTTTCAACATTTGAATAAAGTTATTCTTTATTTAGCGTATTATTACATATTTCAGGAACAATAAGCTTTGGCTATAAACAAGAGAGGGCGGGGAGAAAAATGCTATTATTGTGTCGTTTTAATTTATTAATTGAAATGTTTGAACGGTCGCAAGTGAATTTCTTTAAGGTTATTTCATAACCATCAACAACAGCACAAATAGCATTAAGAACAATAGCGCGATTGGCATAAGCCCATTTGGGATATTCAAACGAGGTTGTTTGGTAACATTTGACCATTACATTGGAATTTATGTTTCACAATGGGTATACCCATGATTATAATCATAATTCCTGTTGTCGTTGTTGCCAAAGTTCATATAGAAAGAAAATAAAGATTAAGACGTAGGGATGAGATAGGAACGCACGCAATTTTTACCAATTAATATCATAAATTCAATTAACAAATTTCAATGGAATGGATGCACACACACACACGCACTCGAAATAATGAAATTGCTGAAGAGAACAAACAATTGTGCTATCTAATAAAAGAGAGAAGTGAGTATGAAAACACTTCATTGTTGAAGTGGTGGTGTATATGGCGCACAATGACGATTTTGATTTGGATGCAGTACAATCGTTTCTACAGTGAATTCGCATTTTCGCATCAAGATCCGTATACAGAATGGAGAATACTGTGTGTAAAGGCAAATGTGAGGTAATAATTACCAACTAGAATCTTCTGAATCATTTAAAACGTTTGATTAGAACTCTTATAGTTGGTATTCTATCTCTCTTTCTCCGCCTATATCGCTGTGGCCATTTTCAATGTATTCACTCTGTCTCTCACGTCGTGCATACGAAAGCTGATTGAAATCATTCGCGTTGCGTGCTTGAACATAAGTCTTAAATGAGTTAACAATTCTATTGAACGTCAATTTTCCAACATAAATACACACTTACAAACCTGTTGTGACGGATTGACAACGGTGGATATAAACCAAAGATAGATCGGGACAGATAGAAAAAAAATGAACGATAGAAATGGAAAATCCTTGTGAAGGTTGAGTTGTTGATGCTCATCTTGATGCGCACTGTTTCTGGGATATTACGTTGTACGTGAATTGTAAATTTTTCTTTGAATTTCACATAAACAACGAGAGCTTGAGGAAACAAAATTGAAAGCACATTGAACCCGTCTTGACTCTGTTCTTATATTTGTCTAAATAGATTTCACTACAATCATTTTTCTATCTCCACAACAGCATAATTCATTGGATGAAATTGAATTTGTTCTTTATTTCCAGTGAATTTCCTTTCCATTCGTTTGAACTTCAAACATTGGTGCATTTTTTGCTTGCAAAATGTGGTGTAATTTTTTTTTCATTTTCCCTGAACAAATTAAATATAACCCGCACTCCGTGTTTGTGTCACACACCATATTCCTTTGAATTTAAAGGCTCTAGCTAAAAATAGTGGAATTAAATTTTATGGCAAAATAAAAAGGAACGGAAAGAATAACAAGGGAATAAATAGAAGCAATAAAGTGATATATTGAGCATGTTGTAAAATTGCCGCATATCGCACAGTAGCACTCAAGTAACTAATATTCGACACATGCCAACGAGCCTACTTATTATTGTTTTAAAATTGATAAAAACTAACTCACCGGTGATATCGTTTGGTCACTGTTTGAAGTTCTTTGCTCTCTGGAGTGGGTGTGGAAATGGAACAAACTTGGTCGCATGGAATGGATTCACTGAAATCGATGAGCTCACTTTCGTTGTTAGATCGAAAGAAGAATTCATCGCGAGCACATTTGTAGGCGTCACCGCCGTCTGATATGTATGTGTTGCATGACGATGCAATCGATGTACCATCGACCAATGTGTCGTCGCTGTCCTCCTCATCGCTGTTGCCGTTCGATTTGGCTTTCACCACTTCAAGATCATCTGCTGCCGTATGATAGCTGTCACGTTGTGAATTGTACGAAAATCGTTCGTATGGTGCGATTGGTATCGATCTTAGATCGGCTAGTGATTCCGTCGGTGAATTAAAAACAGATGCCGTCATCAGTGTGTCTTCATCATCGGAATCTACAACAGGGCAACAGAATTCCAATATTCTAATCAGAAAATTCGATTTTTAAAACGAAATTCGTCATTTTATCAATGGATTAAATACATAAGGATTCGATTTCGAATTTCGATTGGCTCAAATTCAATTGTTGAACGCTTTTACCTTCGGCATCGTGAAAAGCATCATGGAATTCATCGTCGTCATTCGATTCAAGGAAATTCTTCATTGCATTACCACCCTTTTCCGACAGATGTGAAGCAACTGACTGCTCCAGCTGGTGGTGTTCTTTGGCTAATACATTTAGAGATTCTTCGAGCACACGACATTTTTCCTTCTCTTCTTTTAACTGCAAAACTCGCACATCTTCTTGTTGATGGAACAACGTTAGACAGTGATGTAACGATGACACCATATTTGCAGCTGTTTCAGATATCATTTGAAAATGCTACAATACGAAGACACACACAATTCAATTAAATGTTGGGAATTGGGAATATTAATAAAAAGCGATTGGCAGTGCAAAAGAAAATCTTTAGAAGAAAATGGCATCGGATATAGAAGATTTAGTGGATGGGAAGAAATGAATGGCATGAATTTTGTTTACAAAAAATATTGTGAGTCGTGATTCCCGTTCGTAATCTGCGCTCAACGCGCTTCATATACGCCTCATTCCGCTCTAAGTATCCATAGTGTACACAGTCCATAGAGCCGAATGAAGCGAATATATACCATATATACGACATACAACAGAGCGTCATAGCGCGAAATGTACGGAGCCTGTCACATACACACACGCGCATGCTTCATTTGTATGCGGCGCAGAGTGTGTGTGACACATAGTCTATGTGCAGACGCGCCATGCTTATTCGTATGAAGTGTCGCACGTACTATGCGCCGCATACAAACGAAGCGTGCGCGTGTGTGTATGTGACAGGCTCCGTACATTTGGCGCTATCCCGCTCTGTTGTATTTCGTATATATGGTATATATTCGCTTCATTCGGCTCTATGAACTGTGTAAACTATGGATACTTAGAGCGGAATGAAGCGTTTATGAAGCGCGTTGAGCGCAAGTTACAAACGGGTTCTTATATACAGAAGATCTGTTGCCGACGAATTTGGATTTAGTAATGAAATTGTCCAGAAATTTATTAGTAAAACGAGTAAAAGAATGTGTGAATAAGCACGAACGTAAATCAAAAATCAGCAGAACATTTACCAAGTACGACATTTCAATATTTCTCACCATCAACGTGGTTAGTGACGCGGGCAAATTGCCACCATTGTCACATGTTTTCGATGCTGCAGTCATATTTCGTTGCAATTGTTCGACATTGTTTGTACATTCGCCCAGTTGTCTTTGTAATACTTCAAAACTTGCAGACGCCGAATCTAACGCATCAGTCATGCATCCGAGAGGCTTTGCCTTGGTTACTGATAGTTAAGCATGATGGAAGAAATTCAATGAAAATATTAAAAGATGAAACACAGCAAATGCAATGGGTTGAGTTTTTTTTGTATGTGCTATTTTTTCCTTCTCTTAAATACCATTATCATCGTCACTATCAGCACGTCGTTGTTCGCCTCCCCATAGATAGTGTGAACTATACGCTGCATGCTCTTGAAGTGCATTAACCCATTTCTATGTGACATTGTCAGAATTTATGAATGAATGTGTGTATTTTCGTCGTGAATCCGACAATTCTACTGTTTTCTTTCTAAATTATTGAAACGTAAATGTCCTCACCTGACGCTCAACTTGTGCCATTTCGTCGTTGCATACAACACTTAAGCGATGCAATGCACCATCGCTGAAGTGGACTACAAAAGAAGCCAGTGTCGGCATCAATGATATGCGCGCACTGTCCAAATATTTATAGTCGCGCCGTTTGTTCTTATTAATGCCGGTTGAGTCAGCCCGAGACGGGTAATAGTTGAGGACGCCTCGTTCGAGCACCGCCTAATGAAAACGGAAATATAGAAAAAGGATTAAACGGTGAAAATGGAATCGTTGTCGATTCTAAAATTGTAGAGTCAATAAGTAGCTGTCTCGTTGAGAATGTGAGTAAATTATATTTACAACTTATACAAGAGTGCTATTTACCCATATGGGTCGCCAGCCCAAAAAGCGGCTTCTCCTCAACAATGGCCCTTCCAATCGATTCACGCTTTTTTGTACTTTTCTCACTGATTTGACACTCAAAATTTGTATCATTTGTGGGTCTCTCGTCAAATTGAGTGCCGTTTGTCCTAGAAATATTCAATTGAACCATATAGAAAGGTATGGCAAGATTATTTGGAGATATTTCGAATCAAATAATAAACGAAATGAATTTTCATTTTTTGACATTTTATTTTCTTTACCCATGTTGTTGCGAATATTTGTGTCGATTCCATTTTGTAATAACAGCACAGCTGTTTTCTTATGGCCTCGATACGCGGCACAATGCAAACACGTATTACCTTGACTATCAATACAGTTAATGTTTGGTGGATTCTGGGTATCTTTTAGCTGCAGTGGACAGGAATAAAAGGAAAATGATGAGAAATTCTCGAATTATTCATCTTTTTTTAAAAAAAGTAATCGATGTAGCATTGCATCATAAAACACATTACCATTGAATTCAAATCGATGATGTTGCCTTCGCGTGCAGCGGATAACATTTTGGTTTCTTTGCGTAGTGTTTCCGTTTGCTCAGCGGCTTTTAATAATTTGGCTATTTCACGGCCACTCTCTGATGATTGGACCATATCACGTGGAAGCCTACCCTCACCGTTGATTATGCACACGTCTGCATCGTTTTGCAACAACAACATGACCAGATCCTTTAAAAAAATGACATTTCAACAAAGATTCGGCATGAAATTAGCGAATGTGTATGTGTATAAAAATTGATTGGGCACCAGCCACCCACCCACCTCTCGTCCAATGAATGCAGCCTTGTGCAGTGCCGTATCACCATTCTCGTTGACGGCATTCACATCTGCATTGCGTGACAATAAATGTTCGACAACATGACGATGTCCAAAATAGGTAGCCAATATAATAGGCGACCATCCGTTATATTTGGAACGTCCCTTGCAACTGATATTGAAATCGACTTTTTTGGCATCGCGATAAGCCAAAAATTGCTTCACGGTACCAAGGTCACCGTTCCGACACGAACGTAAAAAATTCTCTTCAATCTCATCAATTGATGTGGTTGGCACCGACGGATAATCAATATCTTCGCTTGACATTTTCTCTCATTTGGCATTCGTTATTTTTTGGCCGTCAATTGATTTTTTCGAATATTTAAATTATAAATAATCACTTAATTTTAAAGAAAAAAATCAGCGAATTAAAACACAAAACAATGAAAAAAAACCATCGCGATCGTTTTTTCGTTTTTAATACACCTAATTACTAACGAATCGATTAAATTTCAATTTTAACATTTATTTGTGCGTGATACCTGTAACGCACTCAAATCACATATTTCACTCGCGAGATTATTTACATCGAATGGCATAAATAAGCGCAAGAATAATTTAAAAGAAAAACGGAGACCGAAAACCACACTAAAGTAGAATACACAAGAATAGAACAAATGTATCACAGAACTATTAATACATTACAGTTTGAAATTTTATTAATAAAAACAGAGGCGTTTGTGTGAAGCCCTTAAAGTGTTATTGAGTGTATACGTATTGCTCATATCATGCGTTTATTCATCATAATTTGCTGTTATCATGTACGTTAGTCGATCGCATACTTCTTAATGAGATGAAATAGCTCTATAATGGCGATGATTCAATTGGTTTTTCTGCTGATGACTAATACCTTAAAATAAACAATGCTTTGATGCTTTAGCATCCATTAATTAGTCTTGATGTCTCATCAACACTTGTTTTCTTTTTCAGCAACAACCTTTCGTTCAATTCAAATTTATGTACTTTTTATAGGGATTTGATATATGTCACATTATGAATCATATCCAAATGATATAAATGGTTCTAAATTTCAAAAATGGTCATAAGCATCACGAAAACCACATTGTTGATAAAATGCAATTGAAATTTTTTTTTACACACAAATTGCGATATTATACGCTATTTGTTTACAAGACCAAAATCACAAGACATATAAAGAAAAACATTGGCAAGATCCGAAATGTCAATTTCAGCTGTCAATATTTAAATATTCTTGCATGTGACCTTGTTGCCAGTATTGCCAGTATTACCAGTGTAGAACATTTTGCTCAAAATTTGGCGTAATGCAAGTTTTTATCATGCATATAAACGACCAAAACGAAAACCAAATCCAAAAAAAATGACTCATTGCATCAAAGCCGAAAAAATCCATCGAAAATTCATAATATTGTGAAATGCAATTTACGATACATATAAAAACGACTGCCGCTTTAAGTACGACTGACAGTTCATGTGTTTCGCTTGAACAATTCGCCGCTGTGATTGTTAGTGTGCTGTAAGCGAATCTGTAGCGAGCTACTTCAACTACATCCGCTAGCTGCCATTATAATTTCTTTTCCTTTGCGACGTCAAACAATCGACAAGTAAAATGAGGTAGAGTGTAGATATTTTTTGGATTTTTTTCGATTTTCTTGAGTTTTAACAAATCCAATCGCACTATAAACGCAATGATGGTGTGCCGCCAACGTGACTTTTATAAAGAAAATTCGTTTTAAATTGTTTTGTGATTGAAATTGTCGAAAATTCGGAATAATTTGTGGCGAACCTCGCGATGCTCACACACATGTGGGAATTTGAGGATTGTTTGGACGAAGAGATTTCACAATGTGTCGAAAGTGTTATGTGTTTTCAAATTAAATTCAATGAGATGATCGATTAATCACAAATCAATTGAACGGATTTTTCTGCGGGACATGTATTTTACCATAAATTGGCCGACACGAGGTTTTTCTGACGATTTCATGCCAATATTACAACATAAATACATGATTGTGAACGAAAACATAACCTCAAATTTACGAAAATATGCTTTCTTTGTGCAATTTTCGGTATTTTTCCACTTACAAGCGATGATTAAAAATCAATGTTTTTCTATTTATTTTGCAGTTCGTTAAAACTCCAAAAACGGCTCGCAGCCTCGGTTATGCGATGCGGTAAAAAGAAGGTTTGGTTGGACCCAAATGAAATCAATGAAATCGCCAACACAAACTCAAGTAAGTCACACGTTGTTGTTTATTTGAAACATTTAAGAATTTGACCATACAGTTTGGGATGGGTGTCAGTGAGTCAATTGATTTGTTGAAACAATGTACATTTTGCGTTAAACGAGAAGAAAGAAAAGAAAATAAAATGAGTCGAGTCAATTGATACACACACACACACACACACACACACACACACACACACACACACACACACACAC